GGTGGAGGACTGTATATCATTCCAGTATGAGTCTTTGCCTTTTGCATGCCAGAAAATCATAAGGGAGGAGCCCTTCGCTACTAGTGCAGAAGAATCATAAGCACCTCTTCTGATACAGTGGTGTATGGCCATCAGAGCTTACAGCCCTTTTCAAGAAGGTTTTCACATGGATCAAGCCTTCTATCAAATTATTCTTTCCCTTGGTCTGAGTATGCAAGATTTCCTTAGTCCTTTCCTCCTGTTTCTGCTTTCTAAATATCCATACTAGGGACTGAATATTTTAAAATCCAAATATTATAAATCATAGAAAGTTATAGCTTGAAAGGGACCTTTGGAGATTATTGGATCCAGCCTCATGCTTGAAGTTGATTAACTTCAATGTTACAGGTTTGTGCAGGGTTTGCTCCATTCAAGTTTTGAGTATCTCAAAAAGATAGTGATAACACAGACTTGCTGGACAATCTGTTCCAGTGCTTAACTATTCTCAGTGGAAGAATTTTTCCTTTACGTCCAGTCAGAATCTACTGTCTTGCAGTTGGGGATATTTACCTCTCATCCTTTGCTGTGTGCCTCTGAGAAGTGTCTGTCTCTGTCTTCTCCACTCCCTTTTATGTAGTCCGAAGGGTTCAGTTCACTCACCTTTTAGTTGCATTTGCAGGTAATATTTGCATTCTGTCCATGAAGGCACTGAAAATACTGCCAGTAAAGAAAATACCTGTAAATCACAAGGGAACAGTAGAAGTGACTAACATTAAATTGATGGAAACTGCTCATGTACAAAGTTATCAAGATGACATTTCTAAATAACATCCTTGAGGCAGGATCATTAATATCTTCCCCTACCATGTCTTAAAGGCTGGACATTTGTAAGAGCCTCTCTCTTTAAATTGAGTTTATTCAAAGCTTAAAAGGATTTCTGTCTTTCCTTAAGAAAATGCAGTCTTTGGAGACTTCCTAAAACCAGTTCAGACTGAAGGGCTTTGGTTTTGCATGCATTTCACATTCCAGAGTATGTGGTTTCTGAGAACCAAACTGAGAAGAAATTACATTTGGTTTACATCTACTACTATTTGTTCTGCCAAACCTGAGCTAAGAGACACCACCATCACTTCTCCCATATGCAGTTTTCCTCCTGGGATTACTGGTTGCTTAAAATACGTGTTAAAAAAGTGATACAAACCACAATGTGTCTGTGCATGCAAGGGCGGGGGGGGGGGGGG